GAACTCACAGAGATCCGCCTGCCTCTGCCTTCCAAGTGCTGGGAGTAAAGACATGCACCACCACTACCCGCTTCTTCAGCCCCTTCTTATTCATTCTGAGCAGACCCTCTGTCTTTTCTAAATCTTCGTTTATTACCTCTTTTCAGGCTCTGTTTATGAGTGTGGTTGCCTGGGTGCATCAGAACTGACTCAGGGTTGAGATTACCCTGGGCCAAGTGCCCTCTTCCCTTCCCCTACTCTTTTTTATTATTAATTTATTTTTGCCGTGGATTAAGACTTTTAATTTAAGTCAGAGAATGAGGAGAAGAGCTGTCTCTTACAACATGGCACCGATGATCTTTTTTTTTTTTTATTGAAAAAATTTCTGCCTCCTCCCCCTTCCCCTACTCTTGCTCCTAAGATGAGCCTGCATGGTAACTTCTTGTGGGAGCAGAGAGTGTCGCTTAGGCGTATCTCAGGTGTCAGTCAGGTCCTTGGTCTCAGGGTCCGGGGCTCAGATGGGGCCTGGCCTTTCACTGGCTTCACACTCGCCATTGTCTGAAGATCTCAGGCCTTTCCTCCCTTGTTCTTGCTTTCTTAAGTAAGGGTTTCTCTGTGTAGTCCCGGCTGTCCTGGAGCTCCTCTGTAGAATAGACAGGCCTCAAACTCAGAGAACCACCTGCTTCTGCCTTCCGAGTGCTAGGCTTAAAGGCGTGCGCCACCACCGCCTGGCATTCGTCCTTTGTTCTTGAGGCTCCATGGGGCGATTCACAACACCCTTAAGTTACTACCACTGGCGGAACAGGTATTTTTATTTGTTCTTTCCTCTAGGAAACATCCCTTCTGAGTACATGGTGCGTGAGGTGATTCAGGACTTGACAAGACAATGTCCCATACCCAGCCCCAAATACTCGTGGACAAGTGAACCTTAATAGAGCCCAATCCCATCATTTTGGCCATGAGTCTGTAGTCTGTCCAGACTGTGCTTGAACTCTCTCCCCCTGTAGGCCCTGAGGCCTACAGCGGTAAGCATCCTGCTGTCCTGTGAAAGCACGGCACCATCCTACATAAACACACATGCTGTCTGATCCAAAGAAGCAGACTCAGAAATGCTGTACTAAGTTTTTCCAATAGCAGCTGTAGGCTCAGAAGACCGGGGCGGCTCCCGGGGAGAATTTGCAATTCGCGGAAGTAGCTATAGTTAGACATTGCCCCGAGTGTGGCTCCAGAGGGCAGAACTCAGCATGACTGGGTCATGAGAGATCATTGATTGCTCCTGACCCTGGAGGGCCTGGGTAGATCTATGAGCAGCCTATGGGGTGACTAGGACATGCTTGCCCAGCTTAGAGAGCTAGGGTAGGGTTCAGCCTGAGAGTCTTGAAAACACCCTACCTCTAAGTCTGCCTGAGTCATACTGAGTCAGGGAGGTGAAGTCCACAGGGAAGGCTGTGGCTTCGGGGCCTCAACTCTGTCAGATGGTGGAGCCTCTCTGGGGCCATTGGGGAAATTCGGGACAGCTGTAATCAATGGTTGCTGTCGAAATGAATCGAACTGAACTGAAAGCAGCATGCAGCCTGGGCAGTGGGTATGAAAGGGGCGGAGCTTCCATCCTGCTTCTCATCTCAGTGGACTGCAGGACTTAACCACATCTGCATGAAGCTAGAAGGTTAAAGCATTTAACCCCATCTGAGTTAGGCTTTCTGTTGCTGCTTCAAAGCACTAAAAAGCAAGCTGGGGAAGGAAAGGGTTTATTTGGCTTACACTTCCACGTCACTGTTCATCATCAAAGGGCATCAGAGGGCAGGTACATGGAGTCAAGACCTGATGCAGAGGCCGTGGAGGGTGCTGTTTACTGGCTTGCTCACATGGCTGGCTCAGTCTGCTGTCTTACAGACTTAGGACTCCCTGCCCAGGGATGGAACCACCCACAGTGGGGCTGAGCTCTTCCACACCAGTCACTAATTAAGAAAATGCACTTATAGGCTTGCCCATAGCCTGGTCTTACAGAGGCATCTTCTTAGAGAGCTGTCCCTACGCAGCAGTTCAGGAAGTAGGAGTGGTAGTTGGTGGGATGTATTTCAAGTGGTCTGTGCAATTCGAGCTGTGCCTTTGATGATGATCATTAAGCATCTTTTTGTTTTCACTTCTCACGGAAGGTCTGACAACATTTATAGTCCATGTCCGCAAGACTTTCTCTCACAGGTCCATGCGCCCTACCTCGTCTTAAGTCATGTCCCCCGCTCTGCCTGGGGGACTTGTCACTGGCCGTGTCACTTGTGTGTTTTCATTCTGGAAGACGTTTTCTGCCTGTGACCAACCCTTCCTCAGCACGAGGCTCTTTGCTAACCTGGAATGCAGTCTTACCTGCATCTGGCCTCGCCTCCTCAGGTGCTTTTGCTGGTAGCAATTACGTCTCTGCTCCTCATCCGGTCCCCATAGCGACTGGATGCACACGGCAGGCGGTGAACATAGACAGCAACTCCAGCCAGTTCGGGGTTGTGTCGTCACCGCTTGCCCTCTGCTTGGCAGGAGCCCTCTGCCAAAACCCGCGTCCCTTTTGAAGCTCGTCGCTCCTTTCTTTTCGAGACTGCAATTTGATCCCAATAATTCTTCCTTCCCTTTTATTCTCCCAAACCCTTCCACATTTCCCTCCCTGATCTCCGTCAAGTTCATGCCCTCTCTCCGTTCTCTCTCTGAAGCTTATTATTATTATTTGTTTGTCTCATACTGGGTGTACCCCCACTAAATTACACCCTATCCCCAGACGCAGGTCTTTTTTTTTTTTTCCAATGAAGGAAACTAATTTTTAAATTTATTTTATACAAGCGTACAAAGGAATAGGTTGCAACATGTCATTTTCATAATGCTTTGTTTTGGTTGTTCCTTGTCTGCCATCCTCCTCCTCTTCCCACTCTCCACGTTGGTTCCTTGATCCCTGGTCATCCCTGTTCTGTTCCACCTCTCACACCCTCTTTGTTTCCCCCTTCATGGTCCCCTGTCTTAAAAAAAAAAAAGTTGTTTCACACATTGTTTGCCCGTTGAATCATGTGTGGATGCGCGCACACACATGTGCATGCGGAGGCCCAAAGGCAGCGTGTAGGAGTTGCTTCTCTCCTTCTGCCTTGTTAGACTTGGTAGGTGGCAAGTTCCTCCCCCCCCCCTTGAGCCATCTTGCCAACTTCTGTGGATGTTTCACAGCGTGGTACTTGCCCTCACTTGTAAATTTACACACGTGCAAAAACGAAAGTCTAGGATCCAGCTGTGAGAGAAAACATGGCACAGCCTTTCTCAGTCTGAATTACTTTGCTTAATATAATAATTTCCAGTTCCATCTGCTTCTCTGCAAATTCCATGACCATCTCCCTCTTTTTAAAATTAATTTTGCCTTTTATTATTCATGCGGAGCTAGGCTATCTCTGTGAGTGTGTGCCACCTATGTGCAGGCACCTGGGGAGGCCAGAAGAGAATGTCAGATCCCCTGGAATGGGAGATACAGGAGGTGGTTGTGAGCCTCCTGATGTTGATGCTATGAGCTGAGCTCAGGTCCTCCGGTACAGCAGGGAGCGCTCTTCACTGCTGAGCCATCTATCCATCCCCATTCTTTTGCTTTACAACCAAACACACTCTGTTGTGTCTGGGAACCGTCCATCGGTTGATGGACGGCAAGGTTGATACCATTTCTGTGCTCCATGCTATCGTTAGTGATGCGGTGATTGCCGGGGGTGTGCAAGTCTCTCCACGGTAGGACTCTGAGTCTGTCCGGCACACGTCAGGGGTAGGTTAGAGGGGTCATAGGGTCGTTTTATTTTTACTTTCTTGAGGAACCTCCAAACTGATTTCCACAGTGGCTGTTCCAGTCTACACTCACCCCATTAGTAAGTAGGGGTTCACCTTTCCCCATTTGCCAGCATTTTTTTTATCTTCTTGCTTGTGGGTCATTCTGGGGTGAGGTGAAATCTCAAAATAATTTGAATTTGCATTTCTCTGAGGGCCAAGGATGCCAAACAGCTTCCTGGGAAGCAAATATTAAAGTCGTTTTACTCTTGATTTCTGTTTCTGCCTTTAGCTCCTTGTCCCCTGGGAGGGTGTATTGAGGCCAAGAGCAGGAACTCAGAGCTGTGGGTGGAGCCCAGGGGGAAGGAAGGGTTTAGAAATGGCATTGGCTCCCTTAGAAGAGGCATATTTGGGCTCAATGGGCGGTGATCTCTAGTACTTTGAACGGACATAGCATTTAAAGTCTTTGAGCCTGGACTTCCTTACCCACAGAGAGGAGAAAGTCTTGAGTTGCATTAGTGGGTGATTGAGAAAACTTCAGGGAATGATGTACAAAAGAAAGTACTCACAATGCCTGATATAATGTTCTTTCTCTTTCCCTGCCTAGCGATCTCTTAATGAGGGACAACCTGTTTGAAATCATAACCACCTCCAGGACATTCTACGTACAGGTAAACACTCATCCCAAGACCAGCATCCCTTCTCCGCGAATGTGCGTGAATGCCACCCCCACCCACCCCTGTCCCTGTTTTCCCTTCATTTAGCTTGTAGTTCCTCAGTGATCAGTTCAGTCCCTTAGTCAGTCTGTGTCCCTCTTCATTCTGAGGAGGAGTTTCCCTATGCTAGGATACTACAGACAGGCCAATCAACCGTGCCGGGGTATGTGTGCCTGTCGCAGCTGCGCTCGGCTGCGGAGCTCCAGCTAAGCAGAGAAAAGGGGAACTGGTGGGTAGTTTCACTTCTGCTCCGGAGGGTATTTATAAGTCCTGCCTGTGTATGAACATTACTGTGTGCAGAAAGACAGAAGCACAGAGGGCCCTGTGGCGGGCACAGGTGCATAGCCAGCTGCACAGAGAAAGCCATTGTTTGGGGCTCTGACGGGGTTCACTTACCAGGAGCTCCCCCACCCCCAGATCTGGAGTGCTCCCAATCCAGTATGAACTCACAGCAGCTAACAAGGCAGATTGCTAAGCAGGGCGAAGACATCCAGGGCCAAGTGGTCGGCCTAGGCTACCCAGGAGCCCACAAAATGTGCTGATATCTAGTGTGAGGCCGATGTGGGATTCTGAGCGGTGAAGTAGGCAGCCTTCCCAAGTGGAGTTTTGGAGGCTTCCCACTTCCTTTCTTTTCTTTTGCCCGCAGAAGCACTCCCGTAAAAGGATGAGGCCTAACCCCCGCTTGAGTGTGTATGTGAGTGTGAGAGTGTGTGTGTACGCTTTTTTCACTTTAGGCCAGCAGCCATGCTGGCTGATTTAAGCATCTTCAGGCCATCCTCAATGGGACAAGCACGCTGTCCAGGGAGGCTGGGGAACAGACTAGACCATGGAGGGGGTCACTTTGCTCTTGAATCTAGCTCTTCTCCAGAACTTCTACCATTCAGACACCAGGACTAGCCTGGACTTTAACACGAGTTTCTAGTGTTAGAGTTCATATTTGTAGAGTATGGCCAAGGCTCTGGGCATGGTCTGAGGTGCTGGGGTCATGAATTAGACCGAGCTGATCTTTAAGCTAAGTAATCAAGCAACTGAAATCACAGGCTTGGTAGATTATACAGAGGGAAATCTGCTGGACAGGGACCAGCATATCCCAATGTTCTCAGCGTTTCTCTACTCCTTCCCTTTTGCTCTCTAAACTTCTAAGAATGAAGGACACTAGCATCTCTCTGAATACATAAACGAGTGAAGGTCAAATTCATATGTAGCACTTGACTTACAGAGAATGGTGTGTTAGAGAAGGATGGATGAAACCAATAAACATGTTTGTTGATTCACTTAGAAATTACAACTATAAACTCATGATAAATTAAAAAGATACCTGTGAAAAGAACTGTTCTAAAAATAGCAAGGCTAGGATGATTTCCTAAGCATCTTCTCTGCATCTCTTTCATGGCAGACAATAGGAACTTCACTCTTAGCTCAGCGTGCTGTCCGTGACCTTGTATTACTTTGAAGAATTTGAAGATCTGGCCTTAAGCAAATTAAGTATTTAGACAAAGGGATTATTTCAATGTATCCTTTTAGATAGTTTCAGGTATCTTGTTTGTCTGTTTCTTACCAGAATTTGAAAGATAGTGATTTCTTAATATTTAGGTGCAGTGTAGTCTGGAACCTTATCAATACATTTGCGTAGGCATCGCTAAGATCACTGGTCACCATTCAAGTAGATGCTTCTTACCCAGTTTGTACATCACTTGGAAAATACTGCTCTGAGCAAACAGTGCAGATCCTCAAAGTGTTGACATATGTTACTATGTAACATTCTAAGAGTCACATTTATTGGTAGCATTAGTGAAGTCTTTGAACATGGGAAGATGCTGAGCTCCTGCTGTTAGAGGGGAGTTTTCTGGAATTCTGTTTTTTTTTTTTTTTATTTTTTATTTTAAGAGCTCAATATTGGTTGTTGTCAAAAAGAAATGATATTTCCTTGTCCCCCTGACTCATTTGATATAAAGTCTGCAGAATACCTGCCTCTGGATAAATTGGACTTGTAGTTTCTATGTTGGCCTCTTGTTTTATAAAAATCACTGCAGTTCTTGCTAACGGTGGGAGAACTCTGTCACTTGTACAGTTTGTTCTGCGGGGCCAGAGGGCTGGTGCACTGCACTCAAGTGACTTTCTGGCCTGATCCCTCAGTCGTGAGGAGTATGTTTGCACGAACCGTCTGTCCATCTGTCCGGTCTGGGGGTGTGACCAGCAAGCAGGGTGAGGCTGAGGAGAGTGCTCTGGGCAGGGAAGGACCAAGGCTGGGTTCCCATCATTCGGATGCTAGGGGTTCGGGCTCAGCTACACCACCCGCACTCCCTCTGTCCTCTCACTCTGTAGCGCTCTGTGCAACTCATGAGAAGCAGCTGCTGTGGCTTAGATGTTCCGGGGGACACTGCTGAGCAGGCGCTGGCCGGAAGTGTATATCACATAATTCTCCACAATCTCTCTGGGTCTCATCTCCCATCTGTCCCATGAGGAGACAGGAGCTTCAAAGGTAAATGATCCATTCAGGATCAGAAACTCAGGGAATTATGGAGCTGATTGAGAGTACTTGGTACTCGGGACTTGCTTGTGTCCGGAATTTATGCTGTAGGGCAGTGGTTCTCAACATCCCTCATGCTGAGGCTCTTGAATAGAATTTTTCATGTTGTGGTGACCCCCAACCATAAAATTATTTTATTGCTACGCCTTAACTGTAATTTTGCTACAGTTGTTAATTGTAATGTAAATATCTGATATACAGGATATCTGATATTCGACCCCCAAGGGGGTCACCACCCACAGGTTGAGAACCACTGTGTAGAGGCTGTAGCCACAACCAGAAAAATACTCTACCTCTGACCAACCTGGGGTGACTGGGAATGTTGGAAGCCTGATGATGTTGAACAGATCCAGGTAGCAGTCAGGCTTCAAGATGGACGGAAATGGCCCCGGACCGGTCTTGTTAGTAGGCAGATATTTCTCAGCTCTGGCCAGGGTCCAGGATGAGATTTCTAAGCTGGGCTGCTGCTCAGTGGTTTAGTGCTTGCCTGGAATGCGGAAAGTCCCGGTGTCAATCTCCAACAACTCTCCAAACAGAATCCAACTGCCAGTCCTTGCAATACAGAGCAGGGGTCTCCATGTCTGCATTTCCCATTCATAGAGGGCCTGGGGGTCCTGTAGTTTATCAACAGGAGTGTTTGTCGCTAGAATGAGAACTCTGAAATCGTCTTTAGCTCACCTGTCGGAATTTGGTTGCTGTGCCAGGACAACCGAGAAGAGTGACAAGGGACTCGTAGGGTGTGGAGCCAGAACTCTTGGGTAGTTACTTCATAACTTAGACTCTAAGGCCAGGGGTACCACCCGCAACAGTGGTTCTCAACCTGTGGGTCATGACATCTATTGGGAAAGGAGGAAGTTGGAAATCAAGGGAAGAAGGACCTGCTGGAGATTTAGGGGCCATGGGGGTAACCAGAGGCGAATGTTGCATGTCTGTTATTGATGTCTGCCATCGCTCACTGCATCTGTTAGTGCTGACCTCATAACTGATGCACAGAGGCTCCCTGGACCGCAGTAAAACCACAGGTTTTGTGAAGGATTTCATTTTGGAAGTTTGTGCCTCTCTTCTTATAAACTGCCATCGAGGCTGGAGACCATAATGCATATAAGAGCAGGGCAGGGAGAGAGGAAGGTACATATGGCATCTCCCTTTCTTATCGGCCCAGTGTCGGGCACTTTTTGGTTTCCAAGTAGGTCACCTGGGCTGAATGGACTTCATGTTATTTCTTTCTTGAATGGAATCAAGTGCAATACTTGATTTTTTAAAATAAAAATCTATTTATTATGTATGCATTATTCTCGGTATTCTGTCTGCATGTATGCCTGCAGGCCAGAAGAGGACACCAGATCTCATTATAGATGGTTGTGAGCTACCATGTGGTTGCTGGGAACTGAACTCAGGACCTTTGGAAGAGCAGGCAGTGCTCTTAACCACTGAGCCTTCTCTCCAGCCCTGATTGTTTTATTTGTATAATATTTTAAAATGGCGGTATATCATGTTGTGTACAGTCATGTGTATGTGCAGCTTGTGACATGTATGCAGAAGCCAGAGGAGGACGTCAATGTCTTATTCTATGATTTCTACTTTATTTTTGAATCATTTTCTTTGTGGTGTATGTTTTTTTTTAGCATACACATATACCTGTGTGCCATGTGCATGTCTGGTGCCCATGGTGACTAGATGAGGCCGTTGGGTCAAGCAGAACGGGAGTGACAGACAGTTGTGAGTCCCCTGAGGGGGTGCTGAGAATCAAATCTGGGTCCTCTGACTGAACAGCCAGTGCTTTTAACTGCCAAGCTGTCTGTCAAGGTCCTCAACTTCGAGTTTCTCACCGAACCTGGAACTTGGTGTTTCACCTAGGCTGACTGCCCAGTGAGGCCCTGGAATCCACTTGTCTGTCCCCCAACACTAGCATTTGGGGCATATGTAGATGCTCAGCTTTTCTATGGGCCCTGGGGATTCAAACCCAGGTCCTCTTGCTTGCACAGCAGTGCTCTTGCCCACTGAGCTATCTCCTCTGCCCTCCCATCAAAATAACTGGGGAATAAAAGTATAAAATAGTGGTTAAATCTACTGAAGGTATTTTATAAAATATATTTTCAGTTTTTACAGTATTATTTGCAATATCTGCTTTGGTGGGGGTAAATGCATAATAACCTTTTCTCCATCAAATGTTATCCTGTTTGATCCTTTTTAAAAGTTGGCTCATTACTGGTTCTAGGACCTAGAGTTTTGCAAGTGCCAGGCAAGTGCTCTGCCTCCGAGACCCAGCCCAGCCTTTGATCCTTTGGGGTGGATTTATATGTAATTCAAAGATAAGTATCTCAGGATGAGGGCATTGAACAAATCTATACTGGTAAAATACATTTTTCTGTTGTTGTTGTTTGGAGATAATGGTCTCATGGCCGTATCCCTGGCTCGCCTGGAAATGCCTATGTAGATGAGGCTGGTCTAGAACTAGAAGATATTTACCTGTCTCTGCTTCCTGAGTGCTGAGATTAAAGGTGTGTGTCACCGTGCTAGGCCATGATGGTAGAATTTCAGGTTTATTTGCTCTCCTCTTACATAGAATAGTAAAAATAGCAACCATCACTAATCCATAGAGGGCCCCACAGTCTGGGTGCTATTCAAACAGTAAAACCTCACAGCTTACTTAGTTCTTCCTTGTAGGTCTAGGGACCGGGTGCTCTCTCATCCTGATCTTAGGAAAAGTTTGTATACCTAATTCAGGCTACTCTCTTTGGACCAGGGATATGTTTTCCTTTTTCTTGGAGAGCTACTACATTGATTGCCAAGTTGCCTGACCGAATCATGGGGAGGGGCAAGTATAAATAAATTAGCAGGTGGCAGGTGTCAGAGCAGCACACAGCGGGCCTTTGTCTTTCTTGTTGACCTGGTGCCTTTGTTGGCATGTGCTGCAGGTGGCAGCAGCGAACCAAGGGGCTCTGTTTTGGGGGTGATGGGGAGGGATGGTAAGGCAAATGTGAGAGAAAATACGAAATGCAAAACCCCGTGAAAAGCTAGGTGGTCCGTTTTATCCCGGTAGGATTCAAAGAGTGGTTTGGGGTATGGAAAAGCAAGAGGAGCAAGTGGAGCCTGTGGGGACTGGGTGCTTGTGCGCGCGCGCTTTGTGTTTGGGCGGATGGTTAGGGGAAGGTGCTAGGAGAGCGGAACTTAAGTCTTGTTTCCAGCTCTTGGGTAGCTACTACATAGGGCCCTCTGCGACTCCTTCTCCCTACTGCTGGGAGGCGCCCGGCAGCTCGGCCTGCAGGGGCCAGGCCTCCTCCGTCTTCCTCTTTCCATAGAGACACTGCTGCCCCCTTCTGGGGTGAGGAGGCTATTGACGAGAAATGCTTCACTCGGTTCTGCTCTTGATCTTGGACTTAGCTCACTCCAAGGCTGGGGTGAAATTTTTGGACAGATTCTTGTGCTCTGAGGAAGGCGCTGTTTCTGTTGACAACACAACGGTCGTGTTTACCTTGGAGGGTTTGCAGAGGGAGTTTGCTTTGGTGGAATTTGAAGTGGAGGGGGGTTGAGGGGGGGTCTTCTGTTCAGATAATTATGAGAGATGAGAGTAGATTCTAGACCAGTCTCAGACCTGGGGCTGTGGCATTCTGAACCCCATTTTCCTTTGGGGGTAAAAACCAGGAGTCTGGAGTGGCTCAGCTGTTTTTCAGATGGGGTGAAAGTGGGGTGATGGGTTTAGGCAGAAGATGGGGTACTAGGTGTTCTCTACCCTAACCCCTCCTCCTCTTCAGGGCAGCTTCACTTTGAGCAATTTTAATTACGGTATGGAGAGAGAGATTGCAGCTGGGACAATGTCCTCAAAAGTCTGCAAGCCACTGGGCTACATGGTTTCCAAGAGCCCTCTGACCTGGGGATGATGTGATTTTAGGAACTTGAGCCAGAGACTTAGAAGCTGAAGTCACACCCCAAAAATGTGTGTAAGTGTTGCGGATGTTTTGCAGGCAGACAGCCCCGAAGACATGCGCAGCTGGATTCAGGAGATTGGAGCAGCTGTCCAGGCCCTCAAGTGCCACCCCAGAGTAAGTCACTTCCTTTCTGTGCCACAGTGTCTGCTTCAAGATGAATTAACTTTGAATGGGCATGTTTCATTTGGTTATGTAGGCAGGCGGCCCAGCCGTGAATGCAGCTGAGCCATAGGCTGGCTCACTTGTTTTTCTCTTTCAGTTAACTTGGGGACATTCCCCCCCCACACACACACTTTTGGTTTGTTGGTGGACATGAGGTTGGGCTGGACAGAGAGATGAAGTTTCTAATGTGTCCTGCAAGTCCAGTGTCAAGCAGATCTCCAAACATATGTAGTGAATTCTGCTTAGTATCTGCATTTATTGATGTACTTACTTACTTTTGAAATGCATATATATATTATTTTTGAATTTGCTGTGTGGCCCAGAGTAGCCCTGAGCTTCATAGTCATCCTCCTGCCTTAGCCTCCTGGGGAGCAGGGACTGCAGGTACCCCTGACTCTGATACACTTATTTGAGTTGTGTAGCCAAGTGTCCCTGTTTGAGGTGGTGATCCTGGGTGGCTAACTTTTCTTGAGACCTTGGGATTAACACTGTGAGGAAAATCCCTATGTTGTCTTTTTCTTCTCTTTCTGCTTTCAGGAACCATCCTTTTCTAGATCCGTTTCTTTGACTCGCCCTGGAAGCTCAAGCCTTGCCAGCGGGCCCAACTTCATCTTGAGGAGGAGACCGGCAGTGGAGGAAAAAAGGGCTCTCTGTAAGGCCCCTTCTGTGGCCTCCTCCTGGCAACCCTGGACACCTGTCCCCCAGGCTGGGGAAAAGCCACTGTCAGCTGAGAACGCTCCGGCTCCGGAGGATTCTTTATTCCTGCCTCACCCTGGGCAGAGCAATGCTACCGGGGTGCTGGCGAGTTCACGGGTCAGGCATAGGTCGGAGCCCCAGCACCCTAAGGAGAAGCCATTTGTGTTCAACCTCGATGATGAAAACATACGGACCTCTGATGTGTGACGTGCAGTACTGTGGTATGCCGGAGAGATGTCACTGTGACTCAGTTTCTCTGCCGCGGTGGAGGACAGAGGCTAATGGCACTCACAGTGGAGGGACCCATCCAGCTGGCTTTTGTTTTTGTTATTATTTAATTGGGGGGAATCATTAGGATAGACCCACAGGCACACTCTGTTGCCTCTTGAATGCCCTCCTTTCCCCAGGTTTCATAGTGAAGGGGTTAGTTTTAACTGTTAAAACCGGGAGAGGGGTGGTTAGAGTCTAGTTTTACCCCTAACCAGTACCCTCCCCACCATTTGTATTTCTTTCATTTTCTTGGTTTTGTTTCCAGTTTATATACAGGATATCAGGCTAAGAGCTGGTTTCACCTACCCCTGTTTATTGGCTGATGCGTGGAAATCAGGCAAAGGGTTGCCATAGGGACTGAAAGGCCTCGGGTTCAGGAGACTCTGGTTGCAGCATGATTGGGTCTCATCTGAGAGGTGGCCTTAGAATCTGGGGAGTGAAGGGCGAACTTCATAAAGTCTTTCCGGGCATTTCCCTCAGGACGCCTCCCAGGGGAAGAGAGAGGACCTCTTATGAGTCATGAGGGCTAATTAAACTGCCATAGCCACTTGTGGGAATTACACTGTCCTCTTGCTCCCCTGTGACCCCCAGTGTTCTCAACGTGGGTGACAGAGCCACAGCTCTGTTTGCTGTGTGTCTGGTCCTGAGGATAGCAAGGATGGCGTTATCAGTGTTAAAATGCCAGGACCGTGGAGATCAGAACGGACGTTTCCCTTGAAACCATGTTATTTGAGTATATGTGTGGTGGTTAAGTGTAGAATGATTTCCTCTGTGTGTGTGTGTGTGTGTGTGTGTGTGTGTGTGTGTATTCACTCTCTATCTCAGAGCCTTAAGGTGAAGCTGCTCCTGAGAGGCACCATCTTTGACTCATGCTTTCCAGACAGGAGAATGGTGCTGCTTTGGCACAGCCGGTCTTGAACCCCTGTCTCTCAGCTCTTTAAGAAAGGGGCAGTGTCTAACGTTAAGTGCTTGTATATTGCACCCTGCTGATGGACTTGCTTTTTATACTTTTAAGTTGCCCGGTAAATGAAGCCATGCATATAGTAGGTGGAACCCTAGCATCTGATAAGATCCTATACACTCCCCAGTGGAGAGACAAAAGATGTTTTTTTTTCCCTAATGGTTATATTTTTCATGGAAGAGAAACTGGGAATAAAGAAGCTGAATCAGGAAAAATCACTGGCTAGGATGTGTATTTTAGTTAGAAACTTGTAGCTCAAAGAAGAGACTTGGAGACTTTTTTTTTTAATTATTTAAGCCAATCACCACTCCTGTGTCTATAGTTAATGCAAAAGAAAAGCAGGCACAAATCTCTGTAAGTGTGAGAGGAAGCGTGTAAGTGTGAGAAAAGTGTGTTCTTTCTAATGTGGCTGAAACCCTGAAGCCGGTGCCACACTGAAGACTCCTGAGCTCAACGTGTGGGAGCTGTCCCCCACTATAAGTTTGGCCTTGTGTTCCTGGTCTAAAAAACAAAACCCACTGGATCTCCATTTCTTTTTCTGTTCTCTATCTTTCACCCCTCCCCCTTTATTATTGTTTTTTTTTAAATAATTTTTGTGTATTTTGGTTTTCATAAACTCTTGGTTTGGGGATTATTTATTTATGAGTGACCAAGGTTACAGCTTACTTCAAACGCCAAATTCTAAAAGCCCTTTGTCTCTGGTTTCAACTTAAAATCTTTCTCTAGAAAATTCTTTGGCTGCTCAACGGAATTGCTCAATGTGAGATGAGGAAGTAATGAAAATAAGTCAGGAGCTCGGGAGTGAGCTTTCCTCATCTCCTGACTCATGCAGATGATGTCATGTTCTGGCGTTTAAATTGCAAAATCTGTCTGTCTCGCTGCAACACACCGCTAGCTAGGCTATTACTAGGCTGCATTAACTGGTCATTAAACGCTGATAGTCTCATTAAGTATTTCGAGATTGTCGTTAGATTAAACCCAGTGCCTTTTACATTATATAAAGAAAGGGAAAGATCAGAGTTTCAGTGACTCTACCTGGCCAATACACGGGAATTCCTAGTTAGAACGTTGTTAATATAGCTTCAGTGTTAAGAAAGCATAATTATCTTTGTGAAGTCCAGAAACATTCCAATTCTCAATTCTTATTTCAGAATTCCCTTTCTGTCTGGATTTCTGACCAGTTGTATACTCATCTCCCCGTTTAAAATCCATTTGCTTTTGCTGGAGTCTTGCTACGTAGTTCAGGCTGACTTTGAACTGATAATCCTCCTGCCTCTGCCTCCCGAGTTCTTGGATTACGAGCTTGTACTACCATAGCTGGCCTCTCACAGTGTTTTAATGTGAGTCAAAGATTAGTGCATGAACCTTCAGTGTTCGATGTATAAACTAGAACCTGGGGTGGGGGAAAATAGGGTGTGATACAGTGTGGATTTGTGAATAAACGTATGTTGTGGCTAAATCAGAAGGGATTTCTGAATTATAAAAGGTACTGCTTTTTAAATGTATTTTTTTTTTTTTTGGTGGAATAAAAGCAGTCTCTGAGGTCGGGTTCTTCTACAAGGCTCCTAAGGCAGTGTTCTCCGCAATTTAAGGGCTCACCATCCTTTAGCCTTGAAAGATTTGATGGGCTTGCTTACCAAGATCAGGTGAGAATTAGCAAAAATACTGTGCCTTTCTCATTCTGTGGACACTGATGAGGGTATGGAAGATCATGGCCTAGGGAGGGACCTCAGGTCAAAGCAGTAGAATAATGTCTCTTCTCCAGGTACAATGCTGAGCTCCTGGGGAAAGATTTAAGGCCCAGCATCTTAGTTTACTGGAAGCAAACTGGTTTTGCTTCAGGACTAAAATGACTCTCCGAATAAATAGCAGATCAGCCGTTGAACAGGGGATTTGACATTTTCAGTATTAACCAAATAAACAGCCATCTGGTAGGCAATGGCAGCATTTTGGAAATTAAGTTTCCCATGTCACTTCTAACTTGGATTTTTTTTTTCTCTCTAAAATCTGTTTTTCTCATTGCTCCCCTTCCCTCCCTTCTCTCTGGGTGTTATTGCCTGCTCGAGTCAATTACAGTCACTCATACTAGGTAGGCTTTGAATAAAGTGAATGTCTGGCAAAAACACACAGCGTGACCCATTGGTCCTCTGTTTATGAAGGTGTGGCGTGTCCCGTTTGAGCCGGTGTTTGAGCTGTGAAACACACCTCCAAAGGCACTGAGCTAAGTGCATGGAAACTCCAGCTTCTTATGTTGTGTGATTTCCTAATTGGTATGTAGCAAAACGTCATTTTCTAAAACTGTTTGGTTGCTTGTTTTTGTAATAAAAACATGTGAAATATTGAAATCTGGTCGGTTGTTTTCTTGGTCTGATCTCGTGGCCGTGGGCGGGTGGTCACGTTTGTCACTTGACCCATGACTAGAATTCCTCCCTTCGTGGCTTATAGGTGGGTGGCTCTGGTTCTGGGGTGGCACGGGGTGGTGGGTGATATATGGGTGTGTGTGTGCAGAAGTGAGCCAGACGCTATCCTTTAACAAGTCTGGAGGCTGGCAGAGGCGGCACCAAGGCCAGGAAAACGTGTTGCTTATTTTAGGCCAGTTGTGAATCCTGAGAGGAGTAACTGGAAAAGTGAAATCCAAGAGGGCAAGGAACAGGATGAGCTCCCAGGCGCTCTGGACTGTGTGGGCACAGTTTCTCCTGCTGTGGCTGCTGCTGCCTGTTCCTTGGGTGGAGGCCAGAAGGTCCAGAGTCTCGATGCCCTGTCCTGAGGTCTGCGATGTCACACGTTGCCCGCCACTGCCCACCTGCTCGACTGGCACCGCGCCGGTGCCCGACCGCTGCGGCTGCTGCCGTGTGTGCGCTGCGGGAGAGGGTCAGGAGTGTGGCGGGACCCGGGGCCGGCAGTGCGTCTCGGGGCTGCGCTGCGGTGCCCCGTTTTCCCGGGAGCCTATCGGGGGCGCATGGCTGGGCACCTGCGGCTGCGTGGAGGGCGTGGAGGGCGCGGAGGTGTGCGGCAGCGATGGGCGCACCTACCCCAGCTTGTGCGCGCTGCGTAAGGAGAACAGAGCCGCGCGACTACGGGGCTTGCCCCCGGCAGTGCCCGTGCATAAAGGAGGCTGCGGGGACCCAGGTGAGAGAGGTGAGGGACATCCCAGCCCTCCCCCCACCCCATACTTTTGAGTTTTCCTAAGTAGATAAAGTGGGTGCTCTTGAGTTTGCGTGCTGGCTCGCGGGGTCTGCCCTCCTTCGCCAGTTCCAGAGAATCAACCTGTTGTGGTTATTTCTGGTGTTCTTGCCTGGATAATGTGGTCTCTACTCGTTTTCACCGGGATTTTTCCATCGCCTTTTCTTCCCTTTGGTATGACAGTCTGGGTCCTTCCATCTGCTAGTCTAGAGAACCTGCGTAGGCAGGGGGACGGAGAGATGCTGAAGGATTTTGAGATGTGACATCTGCTTCCAGGGAACAATGCCTGCCCTCATCATGGACCATTTATTCACAGGGACCAGGAGTGCAGGGCGGCTCTGGAGGAAGTTTAACTTTATCGCAGCGGTGGTGGAGAAAGTGGCGCCATCTGTGGTTCACTTGCAGTTATTCCGCAGGTAAAGGTCACACCGAGGGTCAGCTACCCCACCTGATGGTGGCTGCGCATTATCTGATCATTAAACAAATCTGTTGTGAGAAACCCCAGGTTCAAAGAGTTGGCTGGGATATAGCTGGGCCGTGGAGCTCCGTGCGAAGCAGGCGGGGAAACCTCAGGTTCCTGCCCAGTACCCGAAGAAAAATTCTTAAGAGTTATTTCGCTAAAGCGCAAAAGGCCAAGCGTGAGGATTCTGGCTTCTAAATCCAAGTTTCACCCGTGCACGTTGGTGGCCCATGTTTCTTCCCCCCCCCCCTCCCCATACTCCACAAGCAAAGCTTAAGGCTGACTGTCGGAGCTAGTCAACATTTGCTGTTCTCTGCTTAGCTTTAGCCATCGCTTGTGCGCAAGGAAACCTGGATCGACAGAAACTTAATTTGTTCTGTTTCACCACGCCAGTTGACAGCGGAAACCAAGAGCTAGATTTTGACATTGTGACAGCGGTGTGAGCCTTTACAGTGTTAGCACCAGGTTTGGTCTCTTCTCGGCAGATGCCACAGGTTGTCACTCTGGCTCGATTTGAAGGAGGAAGCAGGGTCTCGGGACCCGGTTCTGATTTGTGCTCAGAAGAGATGGCCGGGCCATGCTACATGTGGCTCAGGATGGAAATAGACAGGGGAAGGGATAATGCTTGAGAAAACTCCTGGGGCTCTGGTTGATAAATGCGATGTTTCCTGGGTCTAACAAACCATGTCTGGATTCCCCAGTCCCTGCCCTTAGTTCATCTATTGCCTTGTTCCGGTGCAGGTCACCTCTCACCAACCAGGAAATCCCTGCCTCTAGTGGCTCTGGGTTCATAGTGTCTGAGGATGGACTCATTGTCACCAACGCTCACGTCCTCACCAACCATCAGAAGATCCAGGTAGAACTCCAGAGTGGGGCCCGCTATGAAGCTACTGTCAAAGACATTGACCATAAGCTGGACCTCGCGCTGATTAAGATTGAGCCGAAAGTGAGTAGTCGGGAGCTAAGTCGGAGTCTTCACCTGTGCGAATTTCACAGTTTATTTGCTATATTTATTTTCTTTTAAATTCCTTCACTATGCCTTTTCTCTGTATGTAGAGTACGTGTGTCCCCCCTCCCCCCTCCCCCACCCTTTCCCTAAACCCTGGTGTCCCAGGCTTCTTTTTTTTTTTAAAGAACAAAGTCGTGAGTGATGTAGAGATTAAAATCTAGAGCTTCAGCGGGCGGTGGTGGCGCATGCCTTTAATCCCAGCACCCAGGAGGCAGAGGCAGGTGGATTTTTGTGAGTTCGAGGCCAGCCTGATCTATGCAAGAGCTAGTTCCAGGACAGGCTCCAAAGCTACAGAGAAACCCTGTCTTAAAACGCCAAGCGGGGGGGGGGGGAGCTGAGAAAGAAATAGAAAAGGAAAACCTAGAGCTTCGCTGAAACCTCACATTCCCTCAATGCCCCTCCCTTACACTCCTGCCCCCTTTCCCCCTACCTGCTGTGTTTCCAGTCTCTCCGTAGTAAATGAAGAACCTAATCCCCAAAGCTGCTGTGGTACAGACTCCAGGTTCTTTTGGTTTACCTCCTTTGCTCCACCCCCATCCCTGGGCAGGGCAGGTGACTGACTCAGTCTGGAGACCCCAGAGTGGGCACAGGGGTGGGAGGAAACGGTCAGGGAAAGGGATGGCAGAGTAGAACAGAATGAAGTGTGGACTCCTACCCCTGAGGCACCAACTGGACTGGGTACAGGGGAAAGGACACAGCTCGCCCTATCCCCCAGGAAAGGGACCCTGCAGCTTCATGCTCCTTCCTTTGGGAACAATGCTAGATTGTTTGCCCTTCTGGCAAGGGCTACAGAACCAGGCTGGACGGCATCCCCCTGCAGCCAAGGCTGCTCTTGCAAGGTAGATTTTCCAACTGCAATGGCAAACTCTCCAGGTTCCGGCTCAATTCTTGATATTCATTTCCTTTCTCACGTGGGCCTGTACCCCTGTACCAGGGTCTCTGCTTCACCTCCCTCTTGAGGCTCTTATTTTATCAGTTTCCTCTGCCTACTCTGCAGCAGGGGCCGCAGCTCACACACCTCTGAGACTGAGTTGCAGAGCTTCAAAGCAACAGATGATTGTCTGGCTGAACCTTTCCAAAGAGAATGCCTGGGTGTACCCCAGTATTAGCTACCTTGGCTTCAACAGCTTGGCTTGGCAGGTTGCCCCAGTTTCTCTCTGCAGAGCTTCCAGGTTCTGGGATTCTTGGGGGATTTGGTTGCAGCGTTACCTTCTTAACCTTCAAGGCACCTGGGTGGCCAGCACAAGGCCCAGGGGAGATGCCCTCTGCGTTGCTTTCCACTTGGGCTCCTACCTGACTCTCAGGCTTCAAGGTCTTCAGGCCCGCTTGGGCTAATAGGCCTACTCTAACCTGAGGTCTAGAGTAGTTAGCCCTCTGCAGAACTCATGCTGGTGGGAACGGGGAGATCTCGCATACCGTCCGTCAATATTTGCCCAACCCCTGACTTGATTCCTGGTCCAGCCATAGGGCTTTATAAGCTTAGTCAAGTCCAAGGGTCAGCCCACCCAGCCTGGCTCCAGTCTTTTTGATCTGTCACTGCCATCAGACAGGAGGGATGAGAAGGCCAAGTCCAAAGTCAGGTGTTCAGTCATGGGGAACAGGAAACCCAAGCTAGGGGCCTCGTGAAAGGAGGCCTAGCCAAGGGCTTCACTCTCTGTGTATGTTTTCTCTGGTGTCACCTGCCAGCAGGTACTGGCTGACTGTTCTTCTTCTCCATCTTTCCTTCCTTTGTCCCTTGCCCCCATTTGCAGACTGACCTTCCTGTGTTGCTGCTGGGGAGATCATCTGACCTCCGGGCTGGAGAGTTCGTGGTGGCTTTGGGCAGCCCATTTTCTCTGCAGGACACGGTGACTGCCGGGATTGTCAGCACCACACAGAGAGGTGGCAAAGAGTTGGGACTGAAGGATTCAGACATAGACTATATCCAGACAGATGCCATCATTAATGTAAGTCACCGGGAGTCTGTTCTCAGCCCAGAAGGTATTGCTGGAATAGAGTCAGAAGAAAACTTTAGAGTGATCTTATTTCCTTTTGGTCTTTTGAGCATTCTCAGAGGACATCCCTAAGGGAGGGCTGGAATGCGCTGTTGCTAGAGCCCAATGTTTGATTTAACTGGCACCCACCCTTGGGACTTGTCACAGAGGTCACTTCAGTGATACCGTGTGGGGTCCTTTTGCTTTGCTCTGTACCCACACTGACTTTAGGATTGGGAGGGTGATAGGCATGATTTTGGCTGCTTTGGGAAGCAGACAGCTCTGGCAAAACTCATTAGGAACTCTGTATAAATAATGAGGAGAAATGTATGTTTGCTAACTGGTGGCTTTCTCGTCTTGTCTTTAGCACGGGAATTCCGGGGGCCCACTGGTGATCTTGGTAAGTGGCCGCTTTCCTTGCTTATTTTTCTTCTTAACTTTAAACGTGTTTCAAAATCCGTGATGTGGACTTGGGTACCACTCTCATGGGGAGATTAAGCAATGATGCTTTTTATTCTTGGGTCTTAAGGAAATGGTTAGTTAGGGAAAACTTTGGAGCCTGTGAGGGATTTATCCTCCTGGTGTGTGCTCTCATCTCACCAAAAGCACCACCAGGGCCCTGGCTACAGCTTATTTCAGAGTTTTCCTCTTTTACATGCTTTCTGTTGCCATTGGATAGTTACCAAAACACCCAGGAGATGAAGCTCCGACTTC